ACTAACTATTTAAGTTGATTTGCATACAAAGCAGAGCTTGCAACATGATAGCTATTCATAAAGGGTGATTTTTTTTTACTTTTCATATAATACAGTAGTCACACAATGAGGCAGTTCATATTTGTCTCAGTGAATCATTAATTTTTGACATACACCTGTACAAAATACTTGGACAAAAGCCAGCTAAGATTTTCTGTTATCTTGCATGTTTTATGAATCTATTCACGTCTAAATGCAGCCCTTTTTTTTTTTTTTTGAGGTGGGGCATTTGTTTTTATACTAAAATATCAGAATTACTTTGAATAAAGCTGGAAATTATGTCCCTTAAAATAATTAAACAAATAAGGCACCAATGTTTTTGTAAGATATTTACATCTTTAATGGACATTCGGTAGACATTGTTTGTATTAAAAATTAATTATGACAATGCATATTTATATTGAAACAAACTATGATAAAGGGAATTATATTATATAACAAAGGGCAAGGTCACCAGAGTTCAACTATGTTATTTTTTTGAATTATGGTACTCTATAGAACCACATGTACTTAAATGTTAATTACAAATGGTCAAATTAAGAGACATTTCAATAATTTAGCATGCAATGAATAAATTTGTTGCTTTGTGTATTGAAGATGTGCTTCAAGTAAATACTGTGTATTTTTTATTTGTACTTCATGCCTCCAAAACCCTTAGCACATCAGTTCTTTCCAAGCTTTCTATGTAATTTTTGACTCCCATGTGCAAAGCACACAATGGGAGTCTTTGCAGTTACCCTGTCTGTATGTGTGTTCCACTGATATCTCCAGAATCGTATTTCGGTTTTTAATGAAACTTGGTGCATAGATGCTCTGGGCTAATGCGCAGATTTGATTAGGTTTTGGTTGAAATCCATGCATATTAGTTACCTAATTTGCATTAATCAATTTTCAGCTTTTGATATTTCAAGTATTATTACTTCATTACTTTTCAATGAAACTTAGTATATAAATGCTCTAGAACAATTCAAAGACCTGATTAATTTTAAGTAAAAATGTGTGCATATTAATCAACTAATTTGCATAAAACTGATATCGCAAGTACTAATTATCCCATTTCAATGAATCTTGGCACATAGATGTTCTAGGACAATGCATAGGCCTGATTAATTTTTGGTTAAAATCAGATCATATTAATTACCTAATTTGCATAATAAATAATAATTTTTGGTTCTATTCACGTACATAGATGATCTGTGACAGCACCTATCTTAATTCAGTGAATCTTGGTACATATGTACTCTAACACAATGTGATGATCAAATTAGTTTTAGGTTTATATACATCTATAATAATTACCTAATTTGCATAATAATTACTTTTCAGCTTTCCATTAATAATCATCACATTATAATGAAACTTTGTACATGTGCACCCTGAAACATGTACATTTATAATTTGTATAATAATTCATTTGGTTCATTGATTATCTATTATTAGCCCATTTCTGATATCAAAAAAAAAATCAGATTTAAATTTAATTCATCGCAGAGGTGCTCTGGAACTAAAAACCATCGATGAAAAATCAAATGTATTTTCAGTATATATTATAAATTTTGATAATGTGAATCACATTTTTTTTTTCATGTTGTGCATCTCAAATTGCAAACAAAAATTAGTTGCCAAGCTTCTCGTTTGTAAAGCAAATTATAAATTTTGAATTAATTGTAATGTGTCTCCAATACTCTCAGCACACAGGAGTTCTTTCTAAGCTTTGTTTGATTTTGTTTCACTTTGCAGGGAGGAGATGAAGGTTTTGAAGAAGTTTTTGAGCAGGTGACCCGATGCAGTGAGGGATTTCTTAAAAAGATTTATGGAAAACCATGATAGTTCCCTTCCTTGTAGATGTTCTCCAGTTAAATCTCTGTCTATTAGTTGAATCACGAGATTT